ACCACACAGGTGACAGTACTACTTTGCTCAGTTCCGCTCCGAATATGTCTAAGCACATTGTAGTCGAAATTATTCACTTCTAAAAGAAAAATGGGGGGGTAGCAAGAAAATCTGTAATAATGGGTTCTCTTACATATTCAAATTTGAAGAGCTTCTTAATACAGTTATTTGCTAAATTTCTATGGCTACTGTATTATAAACTTTCAAATTTTCGAAAGGAATTTTGAATCTCCATATATAACAGAATAAAGAACATAGAACTAGACTAAGGAAATCCGAATTTATTATCTCGAATAATTTAATTTTTCTTCTCACCAACAATTTATGATATTACTTTAGATATGATATTTTAGTTTTCTGTTTAACATATATAATTTTATTTAATTAATTTATGCATGCAATTTTATAATTCTGAGTATAAAGTATTTATTATTTAATAATTAAGCATAGGATATTAAAATGGATCAGCCTAATTTGTTCCAGTTAGTTCGGGAAACAGGCTCCATTATGTAAATAAAAAACCTTAACTGCTTTCCCCTCTTGGAATAAAATGCAAATTGATGTTATACACTGGCTTCCAAAAATTAAGCACTTAATTCATAGTAACAGTTTCTTAATTTGAATTTGACTGGCTGAAAATCCCTACGGATGCAGATTATGATGGCGATATGCAAATATCGTATATTGCATCCAGTCACGATTGACTGTCCCAAAATCTTCTAATTAGGATTCGCTGAAGAGGCCAGCATTCTGAAGGTTTTTAGGAGGTTCATTTACTAAATACCGATAAGAAATATCCATAACTTTCTTTGGATAATTTTGATGATATTCGTGTTTATATGGCTAAATGACGAATAACATTTAGGGAACTCTATCAAGCTGTCGGATGCATTGAAGCACGATAGTTGAAAGATACCGCTTTTTCTTTGACGTTGATCTTTTGAAAATTTTTCGAACGGAGGAAAAATTGCAAACAAGTGAAATAGTTATCCGGAAATCTTTGTCCGATCTATCAAGACTTTCAAGCCCTTCTGAAAATCTTTATACTGTAATATCCAAGCGGAGTCTAGGAGCTATCTCTACAGCTGTTACATCCAAGTGGCAAGACAATATCTGCCAGTACTGTACGCCAAGGGCTTAACATGAAGAGACTGTACACTTGAATACCAGGCGTAGTGATCTATTAACTACCCAGTCTGGAGGAGCAATATTAAAGTGGTGATGTTAACATCTCAGCCATATTGTTTCTAATTGGTGCAACGTCTTACTCAAATCTACACACAACGTCCACACACTCACATCTACACACAACGTCCTACTCAAATCTGTCAGTCCAGATTTGTCATGGAATTAGATGATAAGGGTATGAAAGTCTGGAGAGAATGAAACACACGAAATCAGGCTAATAATTTCATTTAACACCTCGTATTTGGAAGTGTTAAATGAAATTCATAAAATAAATAATGATATCTGTTAGCCATAAATAATTCAAAATATTGATAGCCATAAATTCAACAACATGGCGTGGGATGGGATTTCAATGGAATATTGAACCCAGACGTACATCTTTAAAAATGATTCTGAGATGACTGCAGGGTAACGTAATGAAGAACGACATCCCGTTTTGAAACTCTACATTACAGCAACTGATCCTGATTTCCTCTTTATGAATTATAATTTTCATCTCCAACAAACCACCATTGTTAATGAGTAAGTACCTGTAGAGGGCATTTCTCCTAGAGTAGCCGCCGTATTTCCTCGACCTTAATAAGGCGGAAAATCTTTGGGACGTTCTTAGGTATGCTGTTTGTGTACAGCCTCAGACAGCTGGAAACTGCCCTAATGTAAGAATGGTCATTGTTAGCACATGCGATGGTCATTTTCCTTATTGAAAGCATCCGTAATCGCTGTTAATATTGTGTGAAGATCCGGACTGATCGCATACCTTATTGATGTAAGATTTTTTGTTTGGTTTTAGCTGTAAACACCAATTTGTTAATGAGCTAAATGTCAAGTTAATTCAATATTGTCATCTTTACACATAATACATGTTTTCTTTCACGCACAAAAGCATCTGCTACCTTCATTTGCTACAATTGTGCGTTAATCTGTAAAGATCTTATTTTATTCTAACTAGTTATTTTTAATTTTACTTTCCTTTCCTTTCTGACTTCAGTTTCCTGCCGGAATGTAAGTTTTAAATGACGTACTATGAAAATCTAATCGTGTTTCAGAAGCAGTATTTAAGCTGCGTTTGAAGAGTTCGTAAGTATAGTATCGGAGTTATTTCCGAGTTTATAATGCGTTTGTTTGAAATTATTTCTCTAGTCGGTGTTAGACACCTTTCAGTTTATAATAATATTTCCAGACTCGGCTTTACTGTGCGCAGGCGGTTTAGCGTTTAGTTAAACTAAAGAGTCAGTCGTTAGGCATTCAAATTTATTAGTGATTTCTTACATTTTTATTTTCTGTTAAATTTCAGTTAGTCACAAGTAGTGGTGAATTGTAAACACTAAGTGCGTGCATCTGTTAATTTTAATTCAAATAAAAAAGGCTATTTAAAACCTCCTTCTGCAGTATTTATTCTTAAAAGACTAGCGACTATTCGTTACTTCATCTTCTACGTAGAGTCTACATGTTATGCTCCTTATAAAAAGAACGCGTAGACTCTATAAATCAATGCTTACTTTTTGTAAGCCAATGTAATGTATATTGTAAATATAAGCTCGTACGCCGCGTGGGTTAGTAAGACTTCCTTTCAGGCAACGAACGGAAAGTGGAATATTAAAACAATACCTAGAAGGGCCTTCGCACTCTAAAGAATTATGAGGCACATGAAGACGATTTTCTAATAATCCAAAATAGTAGCAGTATCTAATCTTTAATAAACCGCAGGTGCAGAAATATATGCGAACATTAATGGGAAAATATGTAAATAGTTTTATCTCTCTCTACTTCACTCATTTATTGAGGCATATTAGTCTATTTCTGTGCAGTGAAATTAGGTATCTACTTTCACACGGCTATCTTCTTGACGAAATGAATGTAATAATTTCCAACCGTTACTGCAGCAACACGAAAACTGAGCATATATCCATCAATCTAATGTAAAACATCAGCTTTAGCATCTATGTAAAAAAAGAAAGGAAAAAGAAGCGAAGAGATCCCAAAACAAGCATTTATTGCAAATTTGAAACCATTTATTTTTATCGTTTTTATCACGCGAAGTTTCATGCTGTAATAATAATAACACTCCATTCGTTGGCTGGTGTAAATGTGGGATATTTAATAACATCAGCATCCATTAGGATAGTGCAGTTTTTCGTAAAATGAGGCATTCTAAATCCCTCGTCGTTAGATAAAAATTTAATTCTGTGTTCTTAAAATACCGCCACATTCATTTGCATATCATGAAGTTAAAACGCATGTTTCTTTTTTCCTGCATTAAGAAAAGTAGTGGAATATCAAGACCAAATGTTTGCGTAGGAGAACTGGATATATTTACTAACAGTTTGTGTTATGACAATGGCATTATTGCAGGATATGGTGATTTACTTGTTTGTTACAGAAATAGACTATGGCAAAATTAGACTTGAACCTTGCAATTGGGTTTCTCAAGCCGAATAGTTGCTCATAAATGTACCGATGAACACCTGACTGTAAAAACATATATTAATATATATAACAGACTCATTATCTGGTTTCAAAACAATAGCTGATGCTGATAACAAAAATATTTTGATCTCATATATAAAAGACCTCCTTATAAAAGTTGAGAAAACTCATGAAGTGAAAATGAACTGAATGAAAGTCCATATTGGTGTTATGGGCAATGAGAGGGCCGACATGCTATCGTAAGAGGCTGCTAAGGGTAATTCCGGGGATGCGTCCGATATTCAGGCATAAAAAAGATTTCTTGTTGGTAAAATCAAGGATTTCTATAATGATTTCATGAAAGAGAAATGGAACATTTCGGGGGAAAGATTTGAAATTTGAAGTTTCTAAAAATATGAGAATGATATGTGATTTTGATTACAATGAAATAATTACCGGACGCGGGCACGTCCCGGTGTACCAGAAAAGATTTAATTTGCAAAATAATAGTCTTTGTAATTTTTGTAATGCTTAAGGCAAAGCGACGGCATTTCGTCGAAGACTGCCTGTTATTGCAACGTGTTAGGTAGTTTAGGTTTGCGACGGATTTGATGAGCTTTATAAATGGCAATAGAACCATATTGGGAATTTTGATTTGATGTCCTAACTCTATTTTCTTTAATTTATGCTGGATGAGCTTCGTTAACGATGAGGCCGATTATTATCAGCCAGGGGGTTTGCAGCACATTCGTATATGACATGTTTCTTTTTCTAATGCTATTGTATAATGAAACAGTATAGTTCATTCTGAACGAAGTGATATGACTGCGATTCATTGGCGATATGAAGATCTTTTCACTCAAGCGGAATGAAAAATTATAAAATGTGCCAAATAGGGACACAAAAGATTATTCTGTGCCATGATAAGGCGGTAGAAAATTTCTTTCACTAACAATACTAATAATACTTATGTTTATAAAAATTATCTCTTCAATACATTACACATTACATCAAATGGATAAATAAATATAAAGCTGAAATACATATGTAATATCCATTTTTCAGATTTATTGTTCACTAAGGAAAGTTCCGAATACTGACTGTTAGTTAAATACTTTCTTAAGTTTTCCTTTTTCTAGGTTGTTCGTTACTTATTTCTTATACTTGTAATTCATTCTTAATTTTAATGGTATAAATAAACAATTATACCATACTTCTACTTGAGTACTTTTAATAAAGAGACTTCAAGGACAACGAATAGGATAAGTCCCTTAAGCAAATGATTTGTACAGTAATGTTTTGTAAAACAAGATCAAAGTATGCACACAAGATCAAAGTCATCTAAAACCATGGGGGTCATGTTAACGAAGGTTCAATGTAGTTATCATAGGCACAAAAGCACTCACCGACTCTCTTTTTCAGTCCTCCAGTCGTCTGTCGGGAAGAAGGGAAGGAGTTGAGGGGAGATGACTTCGCGCTCTCGTAGTCTGGAGATTCCAGGGATGAAGGTTCCAAGAAGTAGGGCCTCAGAAGATCTTTGGAAAGAGTCTGACCACCCCACAAGTCCTGTTGACAGCAGACGAAGAAGCTTTCCAAACCCATGACCGCGCACCAGAGGATCAAGAGAAAACGCATCTGAAACAGAAGAAAGGCAACGATAAGAACTCTAAAGTATTTTAAGTGAAAAGATATAGCATTTTGAATTTGGAGAGCTTCGATATTATGCTGATATTTATTTCCTAGGAAATCATCATGCCATTTCAAGGACGTCTGAGCGCTATTAGAAATTTTTACATAAAAGCAGGTATAAATATGTATATGCGCATATATTGGCCTTAAACAATTTTCCTCAGATCGGATAATATCTTACAAAATATTAGCCTTAATGACTTTTTTCGAATATCAACTTTCGGAAAATAACCATCCACTTTGGATAATGTCTACATGGATTTCGAAATATTCATGAAAGACTAATACAATGCACCCTTACATTCTGCTTTAAAGGTTCTGCACTGTTCTATAGAGTAAATGAACACGGCGTCACCTGACGATTTTTAACTTACAACTACAGCGACGCAAAACTAAGACGCGTGACTCTGTAACAATAATAATATTTATTTTATATCATTTACATGAATTCCACTGATAGCAGGAACACAGCAGAGACAGGAATCTAAGATAAAGGTTCTAATATAAAGGCCTTGAGTGTGGACCCCGTGGATTAGATTGTAGAAATCTTATGTAGCTTTCGCTGGTTTTGAAGCTAAAGTAAGAAAATTTCCTCAAGGTCGGAATAAAAATGAAGATATCCTTGATGATACATAAACAAAAAAATAGACATTCTTTTATATATAGATGGTTTTAATAAATCCAGCTAGTCTAGCTCGGTTCCAGCTAGTAATTAATAATAACTAACATTAATTTGAATTTATTACTCTTAAGTTATTTAGCTTAAGCTTAGTTTGTTATTTGACAATAGAATACATTTGAAAGAAAAATGAAATGTCTTAACGCTTCCTTGAACTATAACACACTTAAAATGAATTTGATTTGGCCAGTGGCAAAAGTTTTTTTTTAAATCACTGACTTTATTTATTAAATTCAAAAGACAAATAAATATATTGCTTTTTAGCTGGTGGAAACAAATTTCATTTATACAGCTGACTTTTCTGATTACATTTCAATAAATGTTTCACGTTTTGCAGAGCTGCAACACAAAGATTTTAAATCGTTCAGTTTTTAATCAAAAGTTCATTAAATTGGAATATATCTAAGTAAAGAGTTCGTTACCGGTGGGATGGTTTTTGAGAAATATTATATATACAGTGACAGTATAAGTGTTTTGAAGATCATGTGTGCCAAATTTTATCAAGACCGGAATAAAACTGTATTTGTATGAAAGACACTATCTTTATTTACATAGATTGTTACAATAGTAAACAATTGTAAAAATTATTAAATAGGCATGTAGAATGAATAGCATCTATTGTAAATTAAATTATTTAAATCCGTATTATTAAAAACAAAATAAAGATGTGAGTTTTTAAGTAGTATGTTAACTATTTCCAAATCGCTCAGTTGTGAAATAATAGCGCTTCCAACAACAACAAATTTAGCGATATACAGGTTGAAAAATTTCTCATAATGTATCATGACGCAAAATAATCATTTTAGTATTAATAAATAAATAAGAAAATATACAAAACATGTTCTGTATTGCGGTTTAATGTTAGAAATATTTTAATAATTACAATTATGTCTCGAATATTTATAAATTATCGATATAAAATATAAATTTTATATATTATATATGTTATTAAGCATAAAACAGAAATTAAAATTATTAAGAGTTGCGTTTATAGCTCTTAAAATTAGTTGAGATTCCTAATCAGTTATCGATTTTCAAAATTCCAAATTTCTCGAAATAAAAATCTTATCAGGTGGCAACACTGAGAGTTGGTTATTTTAACTTTGCTATTTCAAGACATAAAAATTTTATATCTTTAAATGGCAACTCTTGCCAAAATGCGGAGACGGTAAATTCTCTAATATATTGTGACATATTTTTGGGAAATACTATATAGCATAAATAATAGTGAATACCATTAAAAATAACATTTGCGAATTACTATATCTTAAAATAGGAGTTTTAAGGCCATTTCATCCCACCTCCCAAACCATGATTCGTAATTATGGAACACCGGCTATTGAAAAATAGTCAAATCTTCGAATTTGCTAAAAGCCGCTAAATTCCCTCTGTAGCATGTTGACAACATACGTTATGATCGTAAATGAGGAAGGGGCGCTACGAGCTTGAACTGTGTATTTTATAGTAATAGACTATGGAAAGTCTCCGTTAAAAATGTTTCTCTTTTTAAAATAGCTAAAATTTTCTAAGACAATATATTCAAACTATAGTTTAGCTATTTTTATCTCGGGAACTACACTGTAAAATTGAAGAGGTTAAAGAGTCTATATTTGATTCTCAAACACAGAAAAGCAAATCAACTGCCCTTGCAGACAAGAGATTATCAGGGACACTGGTACGTAATCGGGAAGTCGTAAAATGAGATTATCATTCCGTATTACTACCCTGGGAATGGCAACGATTACTTCCCTTCTGCAGCTTTAAAACTCAAATTTTCTTTCTAGAGCTTCAAAGCTAGAGCGCTCCGAACATTTGCCCCTCTGCGCAACGGAAAGTGAACCCAGGAATTTAGAATTGCATTTAAAACTTTGTCAGTTTTGTTAAATATTTAAATTTCGAAATCTTATTTTTCTTGGTATAGAATCGAGCTTCGCGTTTAATATTGCATGGTGGTAGCGTAAACAGTACCTAAGTAAGCGTATTGCTTTGAAATATATACAATTGGATTTACAGACGTAAATCCTCTTGGTTAGAGTATAACATCAAATGCATAGAGATTAGCGAAAGTGAAAATATGTAGGTATTTTGTAAAGCTAGTTGTTTCACAAAGATTCAATGTTTTAGGCTTCAAAGCAAGTGAAAATCGACTGTAGTTTTCTGAATTACAAAACAAATTGAAATAAAATAACAACTTAGAAAGAGACTTCAAAATTTTTCGTTTATGTACATATGATAAAATTTAATACAATAGTATTTTTACGCAGAACATTTTAGGTTTGCAATTATATTTCATTTTGTTTTATTCAGATACGTGTATTGGTAGACATAGTTACGTTGCGTACCCTGCGTTATGTGTTACATTGCTTCTCCCTTGAACAGACTGTGTGTGTTAAGCGATATTATATTCAAGTCCATTTTAATTTTAGTTTATTTGTATCACACATAAATTTTCCCGTTTTTCTATTTGTTTTATTATAATTGGTTCTACGATCTTTGGTCCTGATTTATCTTTCAAACATGTAGGAGATAAAGGTAACATGTAGAAGATAAAGATAGTGTAGGAGATAAAGATAACTATACATTTCCCTGTATTATTTCTATTTGTAGAAGCCCAGAACTGCTCTGAATCCCCATAAATGAGCTCGTGCATGGCATTTTTGTAGTTCTCTCCCTATACATTCATATATATGTTATTTAATATAGTAGTAAAAAGTAGTTTCAAAACTAAAATAGAATATTAACGCAGCTCAGATTATTAAATAATGAAATCTAAAAAATAAACTAATACCTTATAGGATGTTTTATAAAAAGGCTGTGAGTTAAGAAAGTACTAAAGTTTAATACTATTGTGTAAAAGCTCTTAGACAGAATACTATTGTGAAAAAGCTCTTCATCTTGAAAAATTTCAAAATTAAATACTTAATGATCCAACTAACGGAACAAGTTGAGATAAAACTTGTCAGGAGCGTTTATGGGAAGTTCTTCCAGCAGTTGACATCTAGGAGTCCTTTAAAAAGCGTTTCTGGCCATCGCGATATTTAGAAGTTACTTCTTTATATATACATCTTTTTATTTAAATGTGCTTTCAAAAATCAATACTAATACCTTTAAGATTTTTAAGAAACTTATGAATTCCAAATTATGTAAAATAATTGTAACTATGTCCGAAAAACAATTATAAGCTGTGCATGTATTTTGACATAAAAATCAGAACAATAACAGAGGCAAAATATGGCAATACAAAAATCTTAAAAACTGTAAAAGTAATTTCATTTCTAGCACTTTAGACCTCTATTAATACGTACTGAATTCACTGTATAAGTGAAGTGATTTATTAATTATGAATTTTTAATTAATTATAAATCTATAACTGTAATTATTTTTATAGTTTTAAGAACTTTTGCGTTTTTTTACAGTGTTATATGTATACAACATATATAACAAAGAGATAGCAACAAGCTTGGCTGATATATATATATCCACATGTCAAAACCTATCAGCCATAATGGATTAATTTAGATAGCAAGGAATTAATCTGAACAACCATGTCAATCACAACGGATTAGAATACACTGACCAAAATTTATGTCGATCAAGTTTTATCCATGATGGCTGAGAGTTGCACTTAAAAGATTAAACACTTTTTTGGCTTCCGATACATTTCTGAATCTTTTATTTGGCTGCGCATCTAATCATCTTGATGATGCTTGATGTAGCCTCGGGAAATTTTAAGGGTCATAGATCCTTTTCTTTATTTGAAGCGAAATAGTTTTAGAAGTTTTGCTGAATGTGACTACTAATGTCCACCACGTGGTAAGAGAGCAACCCCCGCAAGGCGGGTTTAGAGTTGCCAGAAAATGGCAACGGAAGACAGGGTTGCAATATTTGAGGCGAAATCGCCCATTTGGGGACAAAATTGGCGATATGACATAGACGGATGGAGAACATTATGGGACGAATTCTTACCGGTATGGCCCAGAATGTTCTCGAACGCAATCCAAAAGTTATATAAACCCTGCTGGTACGCAGAGTAGTCTAGTCGATCTCGAGTCTATCGAGTATCTCGTAGTCTATCGAGTTGATTGTCAGTCTAGTGTCGAGTTCGTCGTCGAGTGTATCTTGAGTTGGCGCATCGAGAATGCGCATCGTTGAGGCTATTGAGTGAATCGCGATTTGTAGCGTGGAGAGTCTCGAGAGTACTTTGAGCTCCGAGAACGACTGGAGCTGAGTCGGGAGTTGTACTCTAGTGCTTTGCCGTGAAGCTGTC